GAAGCACATGCATTGCTATGGTGGCATGGGGTGACTTCTCTTCCACCCCAATGCCTTCTCTTCTCCTTTCTCCTCCATCCCCATTCTAATTCCCATCATCATCATCAACCAGGAGTCTTCTACATGCACACCTCAAAGTAAGTGTACTTTACTGCATTTATTTTTAGTTTGTATGTAATTTTCAGTGAACTGGATTCAATTTTCCAAAAACCCATTGAAACAATGGTTTTGGTTAACAAATTTTTTGGTTAAGAAGCAACCTTCTGGATCGAATTGAGTTCGTTAACCGAGGGACCACTGTATATAGGAAAATGTCGATAATTTGGTAGCTGCGATATAATTTTTTTTTTTTATATAAAGTCGCTATATATCCCGACCCTACTGTATATGCAGAGAGCAACTGACGTCTAATAAGAAGGTGGTGGAGAAGAGAGGGGATTCGATGGGGGAGGGAGGATAAAAGGGTAAGCTAGGTGAGGTGTGTGGTCAAGGTGCTAATGGACACAAGAAGATCAAAGGAAAAGTCCGTTGTCATGGCCACTGCCACCTGACCTCATCCACACAACTCTTTTACTATGGTTAATATTTAATTAATTTGTTAAAAATATATTATTAATTTGCATGTAATTTTTTTTTTTCAATTGCATTTGAGTAAAATTTTAGAAGACCATACTTTTGTATAAGTACTGAATATTTTGAGTACTTTTTCAAACATACAGTAAATACCCCAAAAATTTATTTGTACAGCACTCAAGTAAATTTATTGAGTTACTTTCAACTCAGACCAAGAGAGAGAACCTGTTGCCAACATCACCTGTATGTAAATTCTTAGCCCCTTCTTATTTTAACTCTAATAACTCATAATATTAGACTTTTTCACTCTGCACATATTTTGCATTTCACATTGGACCTGCAGCTCATCAGGTGTAAGGTATACATTTTCCTTATAATAGTCACTGTACTTGAATCATAAACACACCATTTGGTCTGTCATTGTGTGTTGTAATAGTCATTTGCACAAAAGACATGAAAATCTGACCTTTTATAATTTTATATTCGTTTATTGTACAGTACTTAGAAATCTTTAATTGTTCAACAATGGAATATGAAATGTAGAAATATGAATACTGTACTGTACTGTACATTATCTGGAATCTTATAGTAAGTTAATTTATGAAATACTAATATTGTGAAAAAAATTTATATTCTACAGGTACACGAACACCACTTCAAGTTCAAAGTAGAGTCCAAAAGTATTTCATAGCCCTCAAACGTGGAGGGCTACCAGTTCCAGGCAAAAATCCAAGATCAGCTGTTTTGAGAAAAGCGGTAAGAAATTACAGTCACAACGCTTCAGATTAATTTGAGTAGAGTATACAAAGGCATCACACCTGTTTCTCAGGTATTCCTCACTAAATGAAGGGAATAGGTTCCTTGAAAACCATTCATTACATGAATGTTCATATACGTATTGAAAACATAACATCGGAAAAAAATAGGGTTCGGTTCTCCAATGACAAGAAACCCCAACATCATATGAAAAATTTATGAAATGGGTTCACAAATAACGAAAAAGCCTATGTAATTAACTTAAATTAATAACTAACTGCTGTACATTACTGAAATTTCGTACCTGACTACAAGAAATCCAAAAAAAAATTAAATTGATTAACAAAACCTACCAAACTCTTGTATATTAGTACAGTAAAGCCTCTAATAACGACGGCAATGTGTCCTTCAATATTGCAGTGTAAGGTGAATCATCGTATTGCTAATCATTAATTACCATTAAAATAAAACAATAATAATGAGATGTATTCCCAAGTGTGACCTTTTCATATATTTTGTGTGGCTTTTTACTCCCAAAAACAACACAATTAATGAAAATTGTAAACTATATTCTTTAAATAATGTTTCTGAATGCACCTTATACAATATAGATGAATAATAATATGGTCACACAAGAGGAGATGTGACGCCAATGTTTTCATTAGTGTTTACAGCCGGGAGTCCGGGACGATAAGTTCTACACGCGAAAATGAAGAAAATAGGACCCTGGTTGTAACTGTAGTAAATTTAATGTAAAAAAAAATTAATGTATATGTTTTAAGTAATGTTATTTAATGTTAATAAATGAAACAATATAAGTTGCTGGCCACTAATGGCAAAGAAAAAAGTGAGATGGATTGGGAACGCCAACATATACAGCCTGTACATGCGCATTTAAGGATATCGCGTCATTTATCTTTTTAAGAATATGTACAAAAGATTCATTATTGTTTATGACTGAATATGTATTTGATTGAATTATATATATATATATATATATATATATATATATATATATATATATATATATATATATATATATATATATATATATATATATATATATATATATAATTCAATCAAATATATATATATATATATATATATATATATATATATATATATATATATATATATATATATATATATATATATATATATATATATATATATATATATATATATATATATATATATATATATATATACAGTGGTACCCCACTTAACGCGGTCAATTGAACCCAGAGGGTCCTGCGTTAAGTGAAAACCGTGTTAAGTGAATAACAGAACATATGGGATTAATTCCAATAGAACCCAGCCCGACCCCCAAACTCCACTTTTTGACGACAAATAACTATGTTGTAGTAAAAATAACATCTTAATTTTATGATGGTACATGCACACAATTAATACTTAAGAGAAATACAGTCGCCAAGTTAATGTCCATTCAAATAATGGACTCAACTCCCTCCCCCTCTTCTCACACTACACTCACTGGCTCTTCCCTCTGAGAAATTTTTGGGGGAAAACCAGGTATAGTAATAAATAATTCCTCAAACTAAAGTTAGGATAATATAATTGACATTGCTGGATTCCTTGTAAGACCAGGAATATTTTGAATATAAATGTCATATATTTTGGACAAAAGATAACATAATTACCTAGAGAACAATTTTTATCTAAAAATTGTATGTTTAATGCAAAATATATGTTGTTTATATTCAAAATGATCAGCAAATTGTAAGAATTCCAGCAATGTAAATTATATTCTGGCCGGATAATTTGTATGAATTTTATGAGCTAAAACAAATATCTTCAGTTAATAAAAAAAAAAAAATATTCTTCGACACTATCTGTCAATCAAAGTACCCCACCTTGCCTTCCCCCCTCTTCCAACCGCGTGGTCAGTCCCAACCCTCCCCCCCACCCCCCACCAATCCTCCATTCAAGAGTTTTTAACATTTAGTATTAAATAATACCTCAGATTAAAGTTAGGATAATATAATTGACATTGCTGGATTCCTTGTAAGACCAGGAATATTTTGAATATAAATGTCATATATTTTGGACAAAAGATAACATAATTACCTAGAGAACAATTTTTATCTAAAAATTGTATGTTTAATGCAAAATATATGTTGTTTATATTCAAAATGATCACCAAATTATAAGAATTCCAGCAATGTAAATTATATTCTGACCGGTAATTTGTATGAATTTTATGAGCTAAAACAAATATCTTCAGTTAAAAAAAAAATAATTCTTCACCGGGTAACAGATGGTCGGTCGGTCGGTCCCTCCCTCCCCCCCACCCCCCACCCCCCACCAACCGTCCCAAGGAGATGTGTGGGATAACCACTAAATTTTAATAAATAATACCTCAAACTAAAGTTAGGATAATATAATTGACATTGCTGGATTCCTTGTAAGACCAGGAATATTTTGAATATAAATGTCATATATTTTGGACAAAAGATAACATAATTACCTAGATAACAATTTTTATCTAAAAATTGTATGTTTAATGCAAAATATATGTTGTTTATATTCAAAATGATCACCAAATTATAAGAATTCCAGCAATGTAAATTATATTCTGGCTGGGTAATTTGTATGAATTTTATGAGCTAAAACAGGCAGTCAGGCAGGGTGGCGGGTGGTGCGAATCTAAAAATAGCTCTCGAGCCGGACACTCACCGCGTATATGATGAAAAATGCCGCGTTAAGTGAAAGTTCAGCTTTGGCAAGGCACCGCGTATATGCGAAAACGCGTTAAGTGAAAGCGCGTTAAGCGGGGTAATACTGTATATATATATATATATATATGTATATATATGTATATATGTATATATGTATATATATATGTATATATGTATATATATATATGTATATATATGTATATATATATATATATATATATATATATATATATATATATATATATATATATATATATATATATATATATATATATATATATATATATATATACAGTGACCCCTCCGTTAACGAACTCAATCCGTTCCAGAAGGTCGTTCGTTAACCGAAAAGTTCGTTAAGTGAAACCATTGTTTCAATGGGTTGTTGGGTAATTGGTTCCAGCTCACCGAAAATTTCCTAAATTCAACAAAAATGGTAGAAAAGTTCACTTACTCTGAGGTGTGTATGTAGAAGGCTCCTGGATGATGATGATGATGGAATTTAGAATGGGGGTGGAGGAGAAGGAAGAAGAGAAGGCATTGGGGTGGAAGAGAAGTCACCCCATGGTGCCATTTCACCCATAAAATTTTAGCTCTCTTGGTGTAATTCAAGATTATTTTCTTTAAATCAACACTGCACTGCATTATATATTGTCAATATGTAAAATATATTTCAAAATGACCAATAATTTGCTTGGAAACACAGAAAAAAGCGTTTAGTTGAAGAGAGTCTCAAGCAAGATGTTACCTCCAGTGAAAACAGAGAGAGACAGTAACTCCTGTTTGCTGTGTTAAGAGGCTGGATGCCGCGCATTAAACTAGTCACTTTACCTTCAATTATGTTCAATAATTGTTAAAATGACTAAAAATTGAATATTAAACTTTAAAATTATTGAATAGTATAAACTTCTTGATATTTACTAAAATAGTAAGGAATTTAAGCCCTAGATCCGATTAATGTATTGGCGGACTGATACTAAAGCTGGTTGCCTGGTCAGTGCAAGCGAAAACATGTTGAGGTCGGTTACGTAAGAACTTCGTTAATCGAATTTTTTTCGTTAACGGAATTGAAGATCCTTATGGAAGGCAGTTCGTTAATCGAAATTACGTTAACCGAGGTGTTCGTTAAACGATCACTATATATATATATATATATATATATATATATATATATATATATATATACATATATATATATATATATATATATATATATATATATATATATATATATATATATATATATATATATATATATATATATATATATATATATATATATATATATATATATATATATATATATATATATATATATATATATATATATATATATATATATATATATATATATATATATATGCAAAATGAACAATACAATTTATTAATAATACGTAGGATATTGAAACACACAAGAGGATAAGAGATGGCATTGTTGTCAGTGTTTACACTCATAATGTCAGTTATCCTCCTGAAACTGAAGAAAATAAGACCCTGGTTGTTATTTTAGTAAAATTAATGTAAAAAATTTGTATTTTTTAATTAATGTTATTTAATGTGCAGTAGAAGTAACCACTGATATTAAATAAAAAAAGTGAGACTGACAGTGGAACACCAATGTATACAGTACGTGCGCACTCAAGGAAACAATTATTTACCTTAGAAACATTTGTTAAACATTTGAGAAAACATTATTTTAAGAAATTATTTAACTTTCTGTAAGATTGTGAAATGGAGTACCATCGTACGATATGTTTTCCGATGTGTTGAGGTGGGAGCTTGTCTGTGGCAGCGCCGGGTTGGAGTCACCAGCTGACGCTGTAAGAATAGAGTCTACAAAGAACGTGGTCTATGATTCAGACTTCTCACGGAGTAGGATGCCGGGGCCCGACACGCCATTACAGCCCTGACAAGAATGCCAACATGGCCCCTACACGTACACAATTCTCGAAGCCCTCAAGGGGACGGCAGGGCATCTCTACACCGGCGGGAAACACCTCGCGCTCCCAGCAGCAGACCATGAGTGCATTGATGGCTCAGATGGCGTCTCTAGCTGCTAACGGTGGTCATGCTTCTATGCCGATCATGAAGCCCTCAGCAGCTGTCGCTCCAGAGAAGTGTGAGGCAGAAATGCCAGCAGCGGCGTTTAGGACATGGAGGCGGTCCATGGAGTCGTGGGTTCTGTTGAACGGATGGTCACAACTGGTGGCCACACTCCATATTCGCCTGAACTGCGTCCCTGCACTCCAAAAGGTGATTGACTCGAGATATCCCAGCGGTCAGTGGGAGCAGCTCTCGCCC